TGCATTATTATTATTATTATTACTTTATATAAAAGCAGTATGTGTTCACGGAGGTGACTTTATATAACAGCAGTATGTGTTCACGGAGGTGACTTTATATAACAGCAGTATGTGTTCACGGAGGTGACTTTATAGAACAGTAGTATGTGTTCACGGTGACTTTATATAACAGCAGTATGTGTTCACGGAGGTGACTTTATATAACAGCAGTATGTGTTCACGGAGGTGACTTTACATAACAGCAGTATGTGTTCACGGAGGTGACTTTATATAACAGCAGTACGTGTTCACGGAGGTGACTTTATATAACAGCAGTATGTGTTCACGGAGGTGACTTTATATAACAGCAGTATGTGTTCACGGAGGTGACTTTATATAACAGCAGTATGTGTTCACGGAGGTGACTTTATAGAACAGCAGTATGTGTTCACGGAGACTTTATATAACAGCAGTATGTGTTCACAGAGGTGACTTTATATAACAGCAGTATGTGTTCACGGAGGTGACTTTACATAACAGCAGTATGTGTTCACGGAGGTGACTTTATATAACAGCAGTACGTGTTCACGGAGGTGACTTTATATAACAGCAGTATGTGTTCACGGAGGTGACTTTATATAACAGCAGTATGTGTTCACGGTGACTTTATATAACAGTAGTATGTGTTCACGGAGGTGACTTTATATAACAGCAGTATGTGTTCACGGAGGTGACTTTATATAACAGCAGTATGTGTTCACGGAGGTGACTTTATATAACAGCAGTATGTGTTCACGGAGGTGACTTTATATAACAGCAGTATGTGTTCACGGAGGTGACTTTATATAACAGCAGTATGTGTTCACGGTGACTTTATATAACAGCAGTATGTGTTCACGGAGGTGCGTTTTTTTTGTATTATTAAACGGTATTTCCGCATCGGCGAACACACTCAAAGCAGTTGCATAAGGTCACGGGAGCATGACAACGCATATATTTACAAGCACACAGTCCCCCCTTGTCAACCCTGGTTTAGTCTTGGTTTAGTCTTGGTTTAGTCTTGGTTTAGTCTTGGTATAGTCCTAGTTTAGTCCTGGTTTAGTCTTGGTATAGTCTTGGTATAGTCTTGGTTGAGTCCTGGTTGAGTCCTGGTATAGCCCTGGTTTAGTCCTGGTTGAGTCCTGGTATAGCCCTGGTTTAGTCCTGGTTTAGTCCTGGTTGAGTCCTGGTATAGCCCTGGTTTAGTCTTGGTTTAGTCTTGGTTTAGTCTTGGTATAGTCTTGGTATAGTCCTGGTTTAGTCCTGGTATAGCCCTGGTTTAGTCCTGGTTGAGTCCTGGTATAGCCCTGGTTTAGTCTTGGTTTAGTCTTGGTTTAGTCTTGGTATAGTCTTGGTATAGTCCTGGTTTAGTCCTGGTATAGCCCTGGTTTAGTCCTGGTTGAGTCCTGGTATAGCCCTGGTTTAGTCTTGGTTTAGTCTTGGTATAGTCTTGGTATAGTCCTGGTTTAGTCCTGGTATAGCCCTGGTTTAGTCCTGGTTTAGCTCCTGTTTTGGCTGTTTACAGTATGTTCAGTCTGTTCGCTCAGACCACCAATGTCCCCGTGACCACTTTGCTGCTCTCTGACTTTATATAACAGTAGTATGTGTTCACGGTGACTTTATATAACAGTAGTATGTGTTCACGGAGGTGACGTTAAGGGCGGCAGTAGCTCAGTTGGTAGAGCGTTGGCCTTTGAGCCAGAAGGTCGTGGGTTCAAGCCCCGCTCAAGACTTTCACCATCGACTCCCTCTGACTACTGTCGTTGTGTCCTTGGCAAGACACTTAACCTCTGGGAACACCAGCCACAGTGGGGCGGCTGCGGCTGTAAAGTGCCAAACTGCCGTTGTGTCCTTAGGCAAGACACTTCACCCCCATTGCCTAGAATGAGTCTGGTGTGTGTGTGAATGGTTGGTGGTGGTCAGAGGGGCCGATGGCACAGACTGGTTGCCTCGCTTCTGTCAGTGTGCCCCAGGGCAGCTGTGGCTACAGTAGTAGTTTATCACCACCGTGTATGGAGTGAATGAATAATGACACATGTGAAGCGTCTTTGAGTGTCCAAAAAAGCGCTATATAAAACCGATGCATTATTATTATTATTATTACTTTATATAAAAGCAGTATGTGTTCACGGGTGACTTTATATAACAGCAGTATGTGTTCACGGAGGTGACTTTATATAACAGCAGTATTTGTTCACGGAGGTGACTTTATATAACAGCAGTATGTGTTCACGGTGACTTTATATAACAGTAGTATGTGTTCACGGAGGTGACTTTATATAACAGTAGTATGTGTTCACGGAGGTGACTTTATATAACAGCAGTATGTGTTCACGGAGGTGACTTTATATAACAGTAGTATCTGTTCACGGAGGTGACTTCATATAACAGCAGTATGTGTTCACGGTGACTTTATATAACAGCAGTATGTGTTCACGGAGGTGACTTTATATAACAGTAGTATGTGTTCACGGAGGTGACTTTATATAACAGTAGTATGTGTTCACGGAGGTGACTTTATATAACAGCAGTATGTGTTCACGGAGGTGACTTTATATAACAGCAGTATGTGTTCACGGAGGTGACTTTATATAACAGCAGTATCGCTTATGTCCCCGTGACCACTTTGCAGCTCTCTGATTGGTCGCTATGTTTATCTCCTGCGTCTCTGCCGTTGTTAGTGTGTTATTAGCATGTTAGCATGCTGTTTTGTTAGCGTGCTAGCATGCTGTGTTATTAGCATGTTAGCATGCTGTGTTTTAGCATGCTGTGTTGTTAGCGTGTTAGCATGCTGTGTTTAACCCGGTCACAGACTCAGGTTTAATGAGGAAACTGATAACGACGTCATAAAGATCCGGCAGTGATGATGTCATCGCTCACTCAGCCAAACAGCTGATAACAGAGAGGTGTGGAGGGACCGGACCAGACCAGGACCAGACTAGGACCAGACCAGGACCAGACCAGGACCAGACCAGGACCAGACCAGGACCAGACCAGGACCAGACCAGGACCAGACCAGGACCAGACTAGGACCAGACCAGGACTAGACCATGAATCTGGACCAGGACCGGACCAGAACTCTGGACCAGGACCAGACCAGTACTAGACCATGAATCTGGACCAGGACCGGACCAGGACTCTGGACCACGACCAGGCCAGGAGCCAATGTAAACGAGGCCAATCCGAGACAAACCAGACCAGGTCCAGCTCAGTCCTGGGTCTAATCAGAGGTTTATCCACGACAGAACCCACACAGAAACCAACAGGAGCTCGAGTACATTCCTGGGCTGCCTTGCATGCACTCACTCTGTCTTTTCCACTGCCCTGTGCTCTCATTGAGCAGCAGTAACAAGAGGGACATGTGATGAGAGGACCAGAGCGAGACTAGAGAGAGAGACCAGAAGGAGAGCAGAGGGAGAGCAGAGAGAGACCAAAGAGAGACCAGAGAGAGACCAGAGCGAGAGACCATTGAGAGAGCAGAGAGAGAGCAGAGAGAGAGACCAGAGAGAGACCAGAGAGAGACCAGAGAGAGACCAGAGAGAGACCAGAGAGAGAGACCAGAGAGAGAGAGCAGAGAGAGAGACCAGAGAGAGACCAGAGAGAGACCAGAGAGAGACCAGAGAGAGAGACCAGAGAGAGAGAGCAAAGAGAGAGACCAGAGAGAGACCAGAGAGAGACCAGAGAGAGAGAGCAGAGAGAGAGACCAGAGAGAGACCAGAGAGAGACCAGAGAGAGACCAGAGAGAGACCAGAGAGAGAGACCAGAGAGAGAGAGCAGAGAGAGAGACCAGAGAGAGACCAGAGAGAGACCAGAGAGAGACCAGAGAGAGACCAGAGAGGGACCAGAGAGAGACCAGAGAGAGACCAGAGAGAGACCAGAGAGAGAGACCAGAGAGAGAGACCAGAACGTGTTCAGAGCTGTTCCTCAGAAACAGCCTGCAGTGAGGGTTTGTTCACAAACACAAAGGAGATTATTGCAACATTAGTTTATACAGAGCTTTAGGCGACAAAGAACTAACAAGAGAAAGACCAGAGAGAGAGAGAGAGACCAGAGAGAGAGAGAGACCAGAGAGAGAGAGAGAGACCAGAGAGAGAGACCAGAGAGAGAGAGAGAGACCAGAGAGAGAGAGACCAGAGAGAGACCAGAGAGAGAGAGACCAGAGAGAGAGGGACCAGAGAGAGACCAGAGAGAGAGAGAGAGACAAGAGCGAGAGACCAGAGAGAGAGAGAGACCAGAGAGAGAGAGACCAGAGAGAGGGACCAGAGAGAGACCAGAGAGAGAGAGAGACAAGAGAGAGAGACCAGAGAGAGAGAGAGACCAGAGAGAGAGGGACCACAGAGAGACCAGAGAGAGAGAGACCAGAGAGAGGGACCAGAGAGAGACCAGAGAGAGAGAGACCAGAGAGAGAGAGGGACCAGAGAGAGACCAGTGAGAGAGAGACCAGAGAGAGAGAGGGACCAGAGAGAGAGACCAGAGAGAGACCAGAGAGATGCCAGTGAGAGAGAGACCAGAGAGACAAGTGAGAGCCAAAAGAGATACCAGAGAGAGAGAGACTATATAGAAAGCAGAGAGAGACAAGTGAGAGAGAGACCGAGAGAGAGACCAGAGAGAGAGAGACTAAAGAGAAAGCAGAGAGAGAGACCAGAGAGAAAGAGAGACTAAAGAGAAAGCAGAGAGAGAGACCAGAGAGAGAGCGAGACTAAAGAGAAAGCAGAGAGAGAGACCACAGCTAAAGTTACACACATGGTGACAGTATTGTGGAAATATGTTCTATAAATACTCGTCCTTTCTCTTTACCGTTCAGTCCTGAAGCCACGCGCTCAGAGTCAGTGCGTGTGTCTGTGCGTGAGACCTCAGGTGAGTGTGACGTCACATAAGTTCCCCGTGCGTGAAACAGCCGTACGTAAAAACCATCAGAAAGTGTCCAAAAGTTCTTACCGTTCCGCTGGATCCTCCGTGCGCAGAGCCGAGGCGCGCTCCCGATGCACAGCGCGCACAGGAGAAGAGCGCTCCACGGGGTCATGTTTGGGTCTGGAGACTGGACTCTCTCTGGTCTCTCTAAGGTCTCTGTCTGTACTCTCTCTCTCTGGTCTCTCTAAGGTCTCTGTCCGGTCTCTCTCTCAGGTCTCTCTCTGGTCTCTCTCTCTGGTCTTTGTCTGGTCTCTCTCTCTGGTCTCTCTCAGGTCTCTCTCTGGTCTCTCTCTCTGGTCTTTGTCTGGTCTCTCTCTCTGGTCTCTCTCAGGTCTCTCTCTGGTCTCTCTCTGGTCTCTCTCTCTGGTCTCTGTCTGGTCTCTCTCAGGTCTCTCTCTGGTCTCTCTCTCTGGTCTCTGTCTGGTCTCTCTCTAGGCTCTATCTAGTATTTCTCTCTCTCTGGTCTCTCACTAGTCTCTGTTCTGTTTCTCTCTCTGGACTGCTTTTATCTGGTCTGGACTGTGGTCTAGAGCCTGGAGCAGGTCTGGACAGTGGCAGAGCCCGCAGAGGGTTCCATTGGAGGTGTGACTGTGGGAGAGCCCTGGTCCGCCCTAGTCCGCCTCCAGGCCCCTCCTTCGGACTCGTCAGTGTTTGCACAGGGCACAGAGAGAGGATGAGTAAAGTTTATCACCAGAGGAAGTTTGTTTAAGAGTTGGAGGCAGATGAGGAACAGGATGAGACCAAATGGATCAGAATGTGTTAAATATTGTTCAGACTCATTATGGTCCCTCAGACTCATTATGGTCCAGTGTCTCCGCAACTGAAGCCTCATTCACACTGAGCAAAAAACAAATATACCTTACACTTGGTCTCCCTCTGGTCTCTCCCTCTGGTCTCTCTCTCTGGTCTCTCTCTGGTCTCTCTCTGGTCTCTCTCTCTGGTCTCTCTCTGGTCTCTCTCTCTGGTCTCTCTCTCTGGTCTCTCTCTCTGGTCTCTCTCTCTGGTCTCTCCCTGGTCTCTCTCTCTGGTCTCTCCCTGGTCTCTCTGGTCTCTCTCTGGTCTCTCCCTGGTCTCTCTGGTCTCTCTCTGGTCTCTCTCTGGTCTCTCTCTGGTCTCTCTCTGGTCTCTCTCTGGTCTCTCCCTGGTCTCTCTTCTTAAAAAGCCTCCAGTTCTTGTAATTTCCTGGGCTGTCTTGCATTTACTGTAAATATTTACATAAAATAATGGTTTAGCCTTGAGTCTACAGAGCTCAAATAATCAGCCTGACACGCACACACACACGCACGCACACACAGACACACACGCGCACACGCGCACACACACGCACACACACACACACACACGCGCGCACACGCACACACACACACACAAGCACACACACACACACACACAAGAAGAAGAACACGCAACACATTTTTTAATAAAGAACTTGAACGTGAATTAGTTCATATTATGTGTCATGAACGGCAGACAATTTGTTTTCCATTTAAAACTGAGTGAAATCTGTTTTCTCTTTTGAAACGCAACGAGAGAAAGTTCCTCCCTCCTGTATACATAGTTCCCACATGACGTCACTACATACGGGGATTTGCCGACCCGGCGCCATTTGTGTTGGCATGCTGTGGGCAAAACAATAGAAAAAGAAGCTGAAACGTGTTAATGTCGTGATAAAGTTGAAAATGGTCGTCTCCTGCTGGGTCAATGGATGTTCAAATCGTGCCGGAGGTTCCGTTAAACTTGGATTTTACAGTATACCCATCATTAGACTTCATGAATGTGAGAAGACTAAGCTTTTGTCAGAACAACCACGGAGGTTATGGCTTGCGAAGATAAACAGGCAAGAAACTCCCTCAAAACACGCAAGAATATGCTCGGAGCACTTTGTGTCAGGTGCGTATCGTATCTTATAATGTGTTGACAGACGTAATTTACTCAGTACTAACTTGTGTATGCTGATATCTGGTAACTTGAGAGTTTCATTATTTAGATTACTTTATTATGAGGAGGATCGGTGTCGCGTCCGAGGCTCTCGAGGGCAACGTAAATGTATTAAATAGATAATAATAGTTCTATGGTGGGCTAAAACAATGTTCACAAACAGCATTGCTTCTGTAAAAAGATCTGTGTCATAAAATAAACTGCTCTTTACGCCTGGAAAAATCAGTTGCCCACCATTCACCAAAACATACGGTCAAAAACGCGGAAATAAACAATAACAGCAATCCAGAGTGTCCGTGTGGCATTAGCATTAATTAAATTAATTGTTAATATAATTAAAATAATTAAATGGAGCTCCAACTGGTATTAAATCTAAAGTTTTTGAGAAATGTTTGCATTGCTTGTTAATTTTTGCTGCATAATTTGATCAAATATGTAAAACATGTCCGTAGCACGTTAAACTGTGGTGCCATTGTATTAATATACAATTATTTGCTCAAAAGTTGCCCTTTTTTTCCAATTTGCGTTTGAATATCTACATTTATTCTCATTCTTCTGTTTAATGGAATGTACAAACACAGCGGCGTGCCATCAAAGATGGCGTCTCCGAGGAGGTCATGTGACATTCATTGGTCTGTGGGAACTATGTATTCTCCGCACTGTTTCCGCCGAAAACTAAAAATTCCAGACGGTTTCCACCGTCTGTGAACGCACCCCGACTCAGTGTACTCGCGGTGCAGCGCTATATGCTAGTGCTATTCATTGGTTGTTGGACTCACATGTGCCGTGATGAAAACACAGGGTAAGTCAGTGACACAGGACCGTTTACATTTGACATAAAGTATAGACACACGTTCTGCAGCGCATTACAGTTTGTACTTATGAGCAGAGATGGGACAACTCAGTTCCCATTGAAACCCATGTAAATCTTGTCTGCATTGGAGTCAAAACATCCTGTGCAGTGTACAGGATAGTAACGGCTTATTACCCGAGCGCGAGGTCTGTACGGAGAAATATCAGACCGCGGCCTTAATTTTTCTTCATGTTTCACACTCAGTCCTCTGCACATGTGTGATATTAATGTGTGTGATACACCACACAACAATCAAAGCTTGTGAGATTAGAGCCATCTCTTGTATAGAGGTGACGTCACCTCGACTCAAACGAGCTGATCCAGAGTCTGCTCCTCTGTGAGCCCGCCTCCCCCGCCCTCCCCCCGCCCTCCCCCGCCTCCCCCCGCCCTCACCCGCCTCCCCCCGCCCTCACCCGCCTCCCCCCGCCCTCACCCGCCTCCCCCGCCCTCCCCCCGCCCTCCCCCGCCTCCCCCCGCCCTCACCCGCCTCCCCCCGCCCTCACCCGCCTCCCCCCACCCTCCCCCGCCCTCCCCCCGCCCTCACCCGCCTCCCCCCCACCCTCCCCCGCCCTCCCCCCCCCCTCACCCGCCTCCCCCCCCCCTCACCCGCCTCCCCCCCCCCCCTCCCCCCGCCCTCACCCGCCTCCCCCCGCCCTCACCCGCCTCCCCCCACCCTCCCCCGCCCTCCCCCCGCCCTCACCCGCCTCCCCCCACCCTTCCCCGCCCCTCCCCCCGCCCTCACCCGCCTCCCCCCGCCCTCCCCCCGCCCTCACCCGCCTCCCCCCGCCCTCACCCGCCCCCCCCACCCTCACCCGCCTCCCCCCGCCCTCACCCGCCTCCCCCCGCCCTCACCCGCCTCCCCCCACCCTTCCCCGCCCTCCCCCCGCCCTCACCCGCCTCCCCTCGTCCTCCCCCCGCCCTCACCCGCCTCCCCCCCCCTCACCCGCCTCCCCCACCCTCACCCGCCTCCCCCCGCCCTCACCCGCCTCCCCCCGCCCTCACCCGCCTCCCCCCGCCCGCACGCTGACGTAGCATCACACTCTTGTCGTTTATCACCTGTACTTAGTCATTTCATACATAAGAATAAACTTTTTCCAACAATGACAATCCGTCACATCGAGCCCTATGTCCTCGATGCACAATCAGACCCTAGTTATTTAGTTTACAGAAGTATACAGCGAGTTAGCGTCACTACTTACAGATCGAGGGGTCCGAGTTACGTCTTTTACCGTGGGCATAACGTGTTTCCAGATCAGCTTTTGAGTAAGTCCAGTTCCATTGTCCCTGTAGTTCTGGAACAGTCTCAGTGAAGTGTCGCAGATGAACCGGTTTATAATAGATCCATGAGATGAACAGATGAAAAAAGTCGAGCCGCTTTTTTCCTCTTAGGGCCAAATAGTGCGTCACATATTTACACCCAAAACACACTTCATTCAAGTTGACGTGATCCTAACACTTTTAGTTTCTGACAAAAGCATAAAAACAGCAGCTCTATGTGGTGTCCGCGAGACCAGACCACAGACGCTGGACTCGGGAGCCGGGGCCTGCGCTCTGATTCGCTGTTTTGATCCGTCAATCACCTCCCGCCGGCTTTTAATTTATTTTTATTTTTATTATTTTTGACAAAAAACAGCTTACTAATTGTGTATTGTTTACCCCGTTTTGACAAAAGTATTTAACAACTATTTTAAATACAAAGCAAACGGGGTCATGCGCGTCATCAGTGTGGTTTTCGTCACTGAAGTGGACCCGAGCGTTTCTGTGCCTCACGCTGGGGAAGGAGACAGATTGCTCTCTTACAAAAGATTGACAGAATCAATGAATAAACTACTGTGGGCTTGTGTATGAAGGCCAAATAGCATTGTAATCATGTTTAAAGCAGAGAAAAGTCAAAAACCGTGATATAGGCCCTTTAAAGTACAGACCGAGCCGTGTCAGACCTTGGCCTTAATGTACAGACCGAGCGCGTGGTTAATAAATGTTTTATTATCTGACTCTCGTCTGTGTCTTTACCAATGCTTTTGAGATATTTGTGAAGTATGTTCATGTCCGACTTGGTTTTGTGTGATACGCGCTGCGGACCGATTGTCATGGTAACGGTCCGAGATGGGAAAATATCAGACCGGTAATCAGCCAATCAGAGCGCACGGTCCAAGTCATATAATAATCACTATACGTGGCATATATATATATATATATATATATATATATATATATATATATATATATATATATATATATATTTCATTTTCATTTCATTTTCAACCCCTTTATTTGTCCATTTCTGGGTCGGGGGGTGGCAATGAGAGCTGCCCCCAACGCTCATAGCACCAGTCCCTCTGATCTTCTGCAGGGGGTGGGTCCACAGGAAGATGGCTGCTCCAAACAGTTGAGAAAGAGCCTTGATCTTTCAGTTGGGGCTTCAGGCAACGTGGGGTTAAGTGTCTTGCCCAAGGACACAACGACAGCAGTCATCAGTGGGAGCAGTTGGAGTAGGTGGGAATCTCACGACCTCCAGGCCCAACGGCCAATGCTCTACCAACTGAGCTACTGTCGCCCCGTGCCCCGTGGTATATATATATATATATATATATATATATATATATATATATATATATATATACACCACGTATAGTAATTTCTAGCTCGTAGTGAAAAAAGTATCTCTCGCAAAAAGTAAAATGAACTGAACTTTGAACTAGTTCAGAAAAGTTGTGAACACTGACACACACACACACGCACACAGACTCACACACACACACACACACACGCACACACGTGCACACATACACATACACACACACACACACACAGACACTCTCACTTACACACACACACAGACCCCCCACCCCCACACAGACACACACACAGGTCCTTCACCTTTCGGCTGTTCTCATTAGCCCGCTCAGACTGAGCAGCTGTAAGGTCGTCAGCTCAGAGGAATGTGTGACTAACCGTCTGCAGACTGTAAACTGCACTAATGTAAAACATTATCAGATTCTAATAAAGAATATTATAACTCATTATTTCTATAAAGTTCTGTCTCCGCTTTAACGATATGAAACAGAGACGCCTTCATTTTGCTGCTAATGAAGGCCTCTGATTGGTCAGTCCTTATATGCTTCATATCTGGATTTACATAGACAGGATCACAGAGATCTGTATCTGTATACAGATCATGGATCTATAATAACTGGATAGAGTATTACTGGCTTAAAGCTGTCCCACCCACGGCCACAGGGGGCGCTGTGGTACTGCAGACTAAATTCACGAGGGCTACCCAGAAAAAAGTCCCATAGAACTCAATGTAAACTAAAACAGCTCGACCTCAGCTGACAGAGAACCTGACAGAGAACCTGACAGAGAACCTGACAGAGAACCTGACAGAGAACCTGACAGAGAACCTGACAGAGAACCTACAGAGAACCTGACAGAGAACCTGACAGAGAACCTGACAGAGAACCTGACAGAGGACCTGACAGAGAACCTGACAGAGAACCTGACAGAGAACCTGACAGAGAACCTGACAGAGAACCTGACAGAGAACCTGACAGAGAACCTGACTGAGAACCTGACTGAGAACCTGACAGAGAACCTGACAGAGAACCTACAGAGAACCTACAGAGAACCTACAGAGAACCTACAGTTTTCATAAAGGTCAGATTTTGTGGGGATGTTAGTGTCCCTTGTCGTCCTGAACTTTTTTTCTTCTTAAATCCTTCGGTTTTCTTAGTGCCACAAACTTTAGCACCTCCATCCAAGCAATCATTTCAGGAGTCAAAAGAACCACCACTTTCCGACTTCTTTTCCCTTTAATTTCAATGCGTTGAAAATGCTGACACAGCTTTTTCTCAAGTTCGGACAGTCCCAGAGCTTTAGTGCCACAAACTCTGCTCCTTCCTTCCCGCTCTGACTCCGCCCTGCTGCTGCTCTGGACAGCTCTGATTGGTCAGAGCGTGGCCGAGCCCCTCTGTGCACGTGCATGAAAGCCCATGTGAGACCAGTGGGGGCGGGTCCCAGCTCAAAAGTGTCCAAAATGACGTGCGCTGACATGCTGCAGTACCACCCCGGGCCTGTGGGGGTGGACCCAGAAGAAGAATTAGCCAATGCTAACATATAGCGTTAGCAGACCTCTGGAAAACGTCTTTACAGGATGGTCCAAAAGTTGGCTCTTGGCCCAAAGCTCCGTTCCACATGTGTGTCAATGCTGAGTGTTCTGGACCAGTCTAGTTTAGTCGCTGTGGACTTTAGAAGTCTCTCGTTCAAATGAATGGAGCTCTCTCCGGCTGACACATGCACAGATGCGTTTTTTCACAATTTTCTTGTGGGCGGGACCACTCGCGGCCATCTTGGATTGCTCCGGTAGAGCACATTTTTTGGCCCATTAGTTAGAACGGCGGAGATAGGCGTGACTCTGTCCGTTTATATATACAGTCTATGTGTGAGACCCACACACGCACGTTTGGCGCAAAGCATCATGGGAGCTCGTCCACTGCACAGAACTGGGAGGACCAGACGATGCCCAAATACAGGCGAGTTCTGCTGATCTCCCGGTCTCTGTGAAGTCCCATGATCCACTGAGCACAAGCCGTTCATTTGAATAGTAATAGTGTTAGCATTAGCATCTGTATACAGTCTGTGTTAGCATTAGCATCTGTATACAGTCTGTGTTAGCATTAGCATCTGTATACAGTCTGTGTTAGCATTAGCATCTGTATACAGTCTGTGTTAGCATTAGCATCTGTATACAGTTTGTGTTAGCATTAGCATCTGTGTACAGTTTGTGTTAGCATTAGCATCCGTATACAGTCTGTGTTAGCATTAGCATATGTATACAGTCTGTGTTAGCATTAGCATCTGTATACAGTCTGTGTTAGCATTAGCATCTGTATACAGTCTGTGTTAGCATTAGCATCTGTATACAGTCTGTGTTAGCATTAGCATCTGTATACAGTCTGTGTTAGCATTAGCATCTGTATACAGTCTGTGTTAGCATTAGCATCTGTATACAGTCTGTGTTAGCATTAGCATCTGTATACAGTCTGTGTTAGCATTAGCATCTGTATACAGTCTGTGTTAGCATTAGCATCTGTATACAGTCTGTGTTAGCATTAGCATTTGTATACAGTCTGTGTTAGCATTAGCATCTGTATACAGTCTGTGTTAGCATTAGCATCTGTATACAGTCTGTGTTAGCATTAGCATCTGTATACAGTCTGTGTTAGCATTAGCATATGTATACAGTCTGTGTTAGCATTAGCATCTGTATACAGTCTGTGTTAGCATTAGCATCTGTATACAGTCTGTGTTAGCATTAGCATCTCTATTAGCATTAGCATTCTGTCATGAGGCAAAAATGATAAAAACTCAAAACACAGAAGAGCAAACATCACAGATTTAATAAAATGTCAAACTAAACAAAATCCAGAATAACAACTATAACGAGACAGAGGTGAGACACATGAGACTATAACGAGACAGAGGTGAGACACATGAGACTATAACGAGACAGAGGTGAGACACATGAGACTATAACGAGACAGAGGGGAGACACATGAGACTATAACGAGACAGAGGTGAGACACATGAGACTATAATGAGACAGAGGGGAGACACATGAGACTATAACGAGACAGAGGTGAGACACATGAGACTATAACGAGACAGAGGTGAGACACATGAGACTATAACGAGACACAGGTGAGACACATGAGACTATAACGAGACAGAGGGGAGACACATGAGACTATAACGAGACAGAGGTGAGACACATGAGACTATAACGAGACAGAGGTGAGACACATGAGACTATAACGAGACACAGGTGAGACACATGAGACTATAACGAGACAGAGGTGAGACACATGAGACTATAACGAGACACAGGTGAGACTATAACGAGACACAGGTAAGACACATGAGACTATAACGAGACACAGGTAAGACACATGAGACTATAACGAGACAGAGGTGAGACACATGAGACTATAACGAGACAGAGGGGAGACACATGAGACTATACCGAGACAGAGGTGAGACACATGAGACTATAACGAGACAGAGGTGAGACACATGAGACTATAACGAGACACAGGTGAGACACATGAGACTATAACGAGACAGAGGTGAGACACATGAGACTATAACGAGACACAGGTGAGACTATAACGAGACACAGGTAAGACACATGAGACTATAACGAGACAGAGGTGAGACACATGAGACTATAACGAGACAGAGGGGAGACACATGAGACTATAACGAGACAGAGGTGAGACACATGAGACTATAACGAGACAGAGGTGAGACACATGAGACAATAACGAGACAGAGGGGAGACACATGAGACTATAACGAGACAGAGGTGAGACACATGAGACTATAACGAGACAGAGGTGAGACACATGAGACTATAACGAGACAGAGGGGAGACACATGAGACTATAACGAGACAGAGGTGAGACACATGAGACTATAACGAGACAGAGGTGAGACACATGAGACTATAACGAGACAGAGGTGAGACACATGAGACTATAACGAGACAGAGGGGAGACACATGAGACTATAATGAGACAGAGGTGAGACACATGAGACTATAACGAGACAGAGGGGAGACACATGAGACTATAACGAGACAGAGGTGAGACACATGAGACTATAACGAGACAGAGGTGAGACACATGAGACTATAACGAGACAGAGGTGAGACACATGAGACTATAACGAGACACAGGTGAGACTATAACGAGACACAGGTAAGACACATGAGACTATAACGAGACAGAGGTGAGACACATGAGACTATAACGAGACAGAGGGGAGACACATGAGACTATAACGAGACAGAGGTGAGACACATGAGACTATAACGAGACAGAGGTGAGACACATGAGACTATAACGAGACAGAGGTGAGACACATGAGACAATAACGAGACAGAGGGGAGACACATGAGACTATAACGAGACAGAGGTGAGACACATGAGACTATAACGAGACAGAGGTGAGACACATGAGACTATAACGAGACAGAGGGGAGACACATGAGACTATAACGAGACAGAGGTGAGACACATGAGACTATAACGAGACAGAGGTGAGACACATGAGACTATAACGAGACAGAGGTGAGACACATGAGCCTATAACGAGACAGAGGGGAGACACATGAGACTATAACGAGACAGAGGTGAGACACATGAGACTATAACGAGACAGAGGGGAGACACATGAGACTATAACGAGACAGAGGTGAGACACATGAGACTATAACGAGACAGAGGTGAGACACATGAGACTATAACGAGACAGAGGTAAGACACATGAGACTATAACGAGACACAGGTAAGACACATGAGACTATAACGAGACAGAGGTGAGACACATGAGACTATAACGAGACAGAGGTGAGACACATGAGACTATAACGAGACACAGGTGAGACTATAACGAGACACAGGTAAGACACATGAGACTATAACGAGACAGAGGTGAGACACATGAGACTATAACGAGACAGAGGGGAGACACATGAGACTATAACGAGACAGAGGTGAGACACATGAGACTATAACGAGACAGAGGTGAGACACATGAGACTATAACGAGACAGAGGTGAGACACATGAGACAATAACGAGACAGAGGGGAGACACATGAGACTATAACGAGACAGAGGTGAGACACATGAGACTATAACGAGACAGAGGTGAGACACATGAGACTATAACGAGACAGAGGGGAGACACATGAGACTATAACGAGACAGAGGTGAGACACATGAGACTATAACGAGACAGAGGTGAGACACATGAGACTATAACGAGACAGAGGTGAGACACATGAGACTATAACGAGACAGAGGGGAGACACATGAGACTATAACGAGACAGAGGTGAGACACATGAGACTATAACGAGACAGAGGGGAGACACATGAGACTATAACGAGACAGAGGTGAGACACATGAGACTATAACGAGACAGAGGTGAGACACATGAGACTATAACGAGACAGAGGTAAGACACATGAGACTATAACGAGACACAGGTGAGACTATAACGAGACACAGGTAAGACACATGAGACTATAACGAGACAGAGGTAAGACACATGAGACTATAACGAGACAGAGGTAAGACACATGAGACTATAACGAGACAGAGGTAAGACACATGAGACTATAACGAGACACAGGTGAGACACATGAGACTATAACGAGACAGAGGTGAGACACATGAGACTATAACGAGACACAGGTGAGACACATGAGACTATAACGACACTCAGGTGAGACACATGAGACTATAACGACACTCAGGTGAGACACATGAGACTATAACGACACTCAGGTGAGACATATGAGACTATTTCACTTTGGAGAGACCCAAGAGGAAAATGCAGTTAGAAGTTTATTGATTGAGTATGTTTGGCGCCCTAGGCCCGGGAGAGATGCTGATGAGTGCGGCGCTTGCTCGCGCGCATAATCCCCCCCGGGGCCTAAGCACTGGTGGCGGTAGAGGCAGTAGGCAAGCACGCTTCGATGAGAGAAGGAGGAGGTGGGGCGGCGGAGGCTTTGCAGACTTCAGAAGGCCGGGAAGTGGGCGTCTCCGGCTTTTAACTTGCTGTCCTGGTGGTTATTGGTGGATTAGATG